CCAACACAGATTTGTTTGCTATTTTGGCAGCCCACAGGACTGTTAATATTCACTTCCAACACCAATGCAACAATTCTTCTAAGGTCTTCCTTCTTCACTGTCCAACCTTTCACACACATATGAGGTTTTTGAAGATACCATGGCTTGGGTCAGGTACACCTTAATCCTCAAATTGGTATCTTTGTTCTTGAACATTTTAAAGAGGTCTTGTGCAGCAGATATGGTGACTGCAATATGTTGTTTGATTTCTTGACTGCTGCTCCCAAGAGTGTTAATGGTTGATCAGAGCAAAACGAACTCTTTAACAACTTCAATTTTTCCTCCATTTATCTTGATATGATTTATTGCTCCACTGGTGAGGATTTCTGTTTTCTTTACATTGAAGTGCAACCCATACTAAAGGCTGTGGTCTTTGATCTTCATCAGTAAGCATTTAAGTCCTCTTAGCTTTTAGCAAGCAAGGCTGTATCATCTGTATATCACAGGTTGTTAATAAGTCTCCTCCAATCCTGATGCCACGTTCTCCTTCATATAATCCAACTTCTCTGATTATTTGCTCAGCAAACAGATTGAATAAGTATGAAAGACTACAACACTGCACACAGCTTTCCTAATTTTAAACCATTCAACATTCCCTTGATATGTTCTAACAACTGCTTCTTGGTCTACGTACAGATTCCTCATGAACACAATTAAGTGTTCTGGAATACTCGTATTTTGCAATATTGTCCATAGCTTGCCATGATCCACACAATCAAAAGCCTTTCAAAATAAAATGAAATTTCAATGAACATACTCAGAAGTCATGACATAACCGCTGTTGTAGGTGCAGAGGGTCCCCATCAGTGAGACAGTGTAATAGAGACGATACAGACGCCTCGTTACACACTCATAACTACACAAACACTGGGTCTCTAAGTATGTAAACTTTATAATGTGACAATAAGCTTTTGTCTTATTAATTGATCTAAGCTGAACTGACAGGAGCTCTAGTAGTATAGTGGTTATAAGTTGGACTGCTAACGTCAAGGTCAGCAGTTCAAAACTACCAGCTGTTCTGCAGGAGAAAGATGAGGCTTTCTGCTCCCATAAAGATTTACAGCCTCAGAAACCCTGTGCAGGGTCACTATGAATCGGATTCGATCCATAGCACACCACCTCCACCACCACCAAACTGAACTGACAGCAGTAACGCTACTTGCAAGAAACATCACACACCTACTCCTCACTTACCGACTGTCTGCTTATCCAACATTTTACATTTACGACTCCAGTAAGCAATCTACTGTCTGACTGTTTTGCACACTAACAACACAGGTCTGGTAGCAAGGAATGTCGAGGTGTGAGGTGAGGGTGATACACCTGTGATGTTTATGATGTGTCACCGTAGCTGGGCAGCGACTCCCTGGTTCAGCAGCTACGTCATGATGCTTTCATCCTGTTCTGCACTTTTGTGATCTGATGGGACCTTCCCTCTATTTTTGCATAACATCCATTTCTGCATAATGACCTGGACTTTGGAAACGAACAATATCAGTAAGTGAGGAGCGAGTATTTAACAAATCTGTTTTAGTAAAACGTATCATGAAGAAAACAGTTATCATGGCGTCACATTAATAGAATCAGAAGCTCAAAGAGGTAAAAATATTTGTTTGAAACTTTAATAAAAAATGAAACAAGTCCTATCTTTGCAGTATATCCTCAATGTTCACCAAGAGTCAGTTTCAGTCATTATCTTTGTCCTGGGGTGGCGCCATGGGTTAATGTGCTGGACTGCAAAATCGGTTTGAACCGCAAAGTCGGCGGTTCAAGCTCAGCAGTTGCTCCTCAAAAACCCTACACAGGGTCGCTATGGGTCAGAACCGACTTGACCACACTTCACAAAACAACAACAATCTTTATCCTAATGGCCTAGGGCTTCCATAACAAAATACTACTAAGTGGGTGCTTTAAACAACAGAAATTCATGTTTGCACAGTGCTGGAGACACAAACTTCAAGAGGTCCATGGGACATGAGCTCTCTGTGTGGGTTTTGGGAGAGAAGAGCCTTCCCCTCCCTTGTCCAGGCCTTCCTGGGGATGTGTGTAGATGTGCCTTCACGAGGTGCCGTCCCTATGTGAGGCTGTGTGTCTACTCATCCCCTTGAGATAACACTCTGAGGGGATTGAGACTAGGACCACCCTACTGCAGGAAAGTCTATTTCTAAACAAGGCCCCATTCACAGGGATAGGGGTTAGGATTTCAGCTTAGTGTCTGGAGAGACACAATGCAACAGAGAACAATCATGTAAGTCATAATTAAATATCAACTTAATGACAGAAATGGATTCAAATACATGGATTTCCTATGTAGGAATCTCCTTTCTTTTGGAAACTAAAATACAAAATCTATCAAATCCATAAAACGATAGTTGCTAATTGTTTGATGATATATACTATACATATTAAGATTTTTATTGAAGACTGGGATACTTCACTGATGACATAAATTATGAAGCACAACATAGAAACTATATACTTATAAGGTTTTAACTTTTGCTTTTGTCTTTGATCTAACCTTCTATTGAAAAGCATGTTCTAATCCTTTCATATTCAGAAGTGCTAAGTTCATTGAAAATATTTTAGATGTCAAAAGAGCCAGTCCAAATCATCTTTACAATGTGGATCAAACTGGTCCGTGACCTTCAGAAGCACTTTGTAGTGTCGACATCAAACAGAACCCTTCTCCTCAAAAACCACTGTACTACAGAAAGCCAGTCATTTGTGGTCCACTTCCACATTATCATAATAGAGGAAAATCACAAGTTAACTTCATCGTCCTGAAAGTCATTCACCATTCATACGGTGTCAGGGAGACCGCTGCTTCCTTCCACTAACACTGGTTTCAAAGCAAGGCTTTCTTGATAAAGAGAGCAGTGCATGGATCTTCTGATGTAGGCTCTTGAATTGTGGGAATGACTCCTACCCAGAGCACACTCCTCACATTTGTTGACATCATAATCTTGGATAGTTTTTACAGCTCAGCGTTAGCTGTGTTTGTCAGCTATTTAAAGCAGGAGAGGAGAGCTTGCCTTCATTTCCGCAGGGTGGATAAAGCACAGTATGAGCATTGGCTGGCGTGTGCTAGAACATGCTGCCCTTGCAGTATTTGTTCCGTAGCCACAGCCTGAACCATGGAGCCCACTGCAGACTCACACTTACCCACTCTATTCAAACAAACAGTGTGTCAAATTTTTACTAACGCTTTGGCAAGTAGATATGGATTTTCAGTCATGCCAACTGGAAACTTTTCCCTATAAGCAATCATATTTATATGTGAAAATACTGAACTCTTCATTCCTACTTCCTTGGACATTGTTTGTAGAGTGGGTCTCGTGCAGATATAACTTGTTAGAATTTGTCTCAAACAGGTTTATTTCTGCTTTGTGTTAGGTATTTTATCGTGTATAGAGTCTAGGTGGATTACTTTTTCAGCACATGAAGACTGTCAATTCATTGTCCTGTCTGCAGTTTCCGATGAGCAGTCTATAGGTAGTCTGTTTTGTTCCTTAATAGAAATGAAACTGCTCGTCCCCTGGGCAACTTTGAAGATTTCTTCTTTATCTCTGGTTTTCAACAACTTGATTGTGATGTGTCTTGTCGTGGTTTTCTTCGTGAATCTCCTGCTGGAGCTACGGGATTACAATTTTCATCAGATTTGAAAACGACGGCCACTAGTTCTTCAAATACTTTTCCTCTGCCTGCAGCCCACATCCCTCCTTTCACGACTCCAATAATAAGTACTGCAGACTGCTTTAGATGGTCCCAGGGTCACGGGCCTTGTCTTTCACTACTACATAAGGAGACTCCGAAGTTAGTCAGTGGCTGAACGCTGCCCACGAAGTCTTGGCATGGAGCGGCCAAGCTTTCGGGTGAGATGAAGTCACGGAGCTGGCTGGCTGGGCGCTCCTCCTCCAGGACCAGAGTTCCACTCCTCTGTGGTACGGGATGGGGCAGGGCGCAGCTCCTGCAGGGGCCCTGGCAGCAATGGACAACCCCGCTCACATCCCAGGAAACGCTGGCTTCCTTTCCAAAATCAACTGGCGAAAATCCTCAGCTTGTAAGGGGCTCCCGTGAGTAGGGAGTCCACCTGGATAACACGCTAATGTATACCACAGTTCAGCTGCAAGAGTCCACGCCGCTATCCGCCATCTGGGTGCCAGGCAAGGCTGCACAGAACTCCGCCCACCACGATCAAAGCCAGCCATGAAAAGTGCCATTTCAGACTAGTTTTCCGTTCTAAAACTTCCTACGGTTTTTTCTTTACATGTACATTATAGAAACACATTTAAAATAGTTGCTTTAACATCTTTCCCACAATCCCACCCTCTACTCTGCCTGAATTGGTGTCCAGTCATTGGCTAGTTCTCCTAGACAAGCATCACAGTTTCTATATCTCTGCATATTTAGCAAGTTTTTATTGGTGAGCAACATTTAATGTCATGCGCTGTGTGATGGACTTTGTTCTGACAGGAACTTAAATAACTCACAGATGAGTTTGAACTAATTTTGCCCCGCTGTTCAGCAAGATTCTCCTGAGATCTCTAGAGAATGCCACCACTATGCATACTGACAGCGAGCTCTGGTAGCGTAGTGGTTACGAATCGGGCTGTGAGCCGCAAGGTCAGCAGTTCAAAACTACCAGCCGTTCCGCGGGAGAAAGATGAGGCTTTCTACTCCCGTAAAGATTTACACCCTCGGAAACCCTGTACAGGGTCGCTATGGGTCAGAACTGACTCAATGGCACTTAACAACAACAACAACATGCATACTGACAAGCATATAACATGGACATCCCGAGGTGTCCCTCGCTGTGAGGTGACATTGAGAGAAAGCCACTGGAGCACAGCCGTACAAACTACACTCTGCTCTTAGTCAGATAGACCTGTCCCCTTTCACACCATGAACAATGACTGTATAACAATCCCACAAACACAACCAGCCAGACAGGATGGAATTACCTTTGTAAAACGAGTGGGCCAAGCTCTGCTCAGGGATGAACTTGGCCAGGAGTCCGTGGTTCAGACTTGGGTGAGGGATAGAAGGGATGACCACACCTGTGGAGAAAACCATGAAGGCAAGTGTGAGCTGCCATTAACCACCATAGCCTGGCCCCCCGGAGAGCAAGCCGAGTCTCCCACACAAACACACGCACACAGCACGGGTACCTTTCTGTGTTGAGAAGGAGGGAGTGCGCATTCTCAGGAAGGAAAGAGGTTGGAGAAAATACACAGGGACACAGAAATACACAACAGGGCTCACTCCAGGAGTGCTTGTTTCACACACACACACACACACACACACACACACGGGTCAGTCAAAAAGTAATGCTACAGAATGGTCAGCCATCTGTTAGGGAATGAAAAGAGCAGGATGTGAAGCTACTGTTTCTCAGCTGATCCTCCATTTACGTCTACATACTCCTGAAGGTGCTGTTTACACCCTCTACGCTTTCCCCCCAATTCTGGGGTTTTCCATTTACTATGTGTGTGGCGCTGTGGGTTAATGCGCCAGACTGCAAAGCCATTTGAACTGCAAGGTCTGTGGTTCAAGCTCACTAGCTGCTCCTTGGAAACCCTACAGAGGGTCGCTACAGGTCGGAATCGACTTGATGGCACTTAACAACAACAACAATCATGTACAAGTGGCAGTTTGGGCAACTTCAAAGGACTCAAATAGAGTTTTCTAAAACGTTCTTTGAATTTGGGGCAAAATCAGAGCTGTAAAGTGGAACGGGTAAGGTTTCCCAAAGAAATGCTCATGAGACAGCCCTTACCCCCCTCACAGAATGGAGCCCTGGTAGAGCCGTGCATACTAACTACAAGGTCAACAGTTTGAATCTATCAGCCGCTCTGTGGGAGAAAGAGGAGGCTTTCTGCTCACAGAAAGCTTTACAGCCTCGGAACCCCTATCCAGGGTGGCAATGAGTTGGAATCGCCTCCACAGCACAAGAACGAGTGAAGTCAGGGCTGTGATGGAACCTTCCTTAGGGCCACTTTCCGGGTCTTTCTCTCACAGCGCAGTTTTCTTTTTTCTCAAAACTGTTTCGTTTAAACCCCTGTCATTGTCTGTGTCCCTGGAGAAAATCCATCAAGGTGGCCCCTTTGAAGTCCCCAAAATCAGTCCTCATAACCTTCTAAGCTGACCTCGCTCTCTGCCTTGGATTCAACTGGCCCAGCAAATCCCCTCAGAAGTCCCTGTTCCGACTGGACTGCATCTTTTTATGGAAGGCTCCCTAAGGAGATAAGGCAAGTATATTCCTGAAAGGGCTTGTCTGCGGCCATCCACCGATCTCACAGACCCGTTAATTAAAGCTTTGTCGGGAATAAACCCAGGCAAGGATGAGCTGGGACCCCAGGAGCAGTACTTTCTGACTGAGCCTCAGATATTTATGTTAGATATGAATTCGTTAAAGATGAAGCAAAGAGGTTGACTAGCATGTTAACATAGAATCTTCAACTTTTTTTAAATGGTGAAAACACATGAACCACAAAGGTTTGATGATGCATAATTTGAAGAAGCAAGTTAAAATAAAAGTCAATTCTGACAGAATAACTTATGTGTCAGAAATCAGTATGGCATGCATCAGCAAACTCCTCCAGCTGAAGCACTCCGTATTCACCACGTGACATGAAAGGTAAACGAGGCATTGAGTCTTTACGGAAGCCAGGAGACAGAAATTTGGCCACTAATTGCTCCTCACTTCTGTTTTATATCACAGTGATTTGTTTAAATCTCTGTTGCCATCAAGCCAATTCCAATTCATAACAACCCTATAGAACGGAGGAGAACTGCTCATAGTTCCCATGGCTGGGCTGGGCCGCCCCGCCCCGCCCCGCCCTTCTGGTTAGCAGCCAGTCTTTTCAACATCACACCACCAGGGCTCCTGCATGTACTGAAAATAAAGTAGACAAGTTCAACTACAAATTAATCCAGTGGCACATGAATAAAGAAAGAAATCAACCCCACTGGGTCCCCAAGGTAACACGACATACAACAAAGAAATAACTGGCAAGAAATGCAACGAAAGGAAAGTGCACCATGGCATTCCAGTATTAGTTGCCATAAAGTGTGTTTGTAGTTTTCAAGTGAAGTAGAAAAGGCTGAAAATTCAAGATTTCCTGCTACATCAGCGTTTTCTGCAGAAGAAACAGCCCACCTGACCCAGGAGGGTCTGCTGCGCCTTTATATTATCTTCTACCAGTCTTTGATTTGAGTTGAAACAATCTTGGAAAAAAGATTGGAATGTTGTTTGTCCGTATTACAAATTTGATAGAATATTTAAACACTGAACTAGGTTCATATAGCACACAAAAAAGAGCACAAGAGTAAAAGGGAGAGAGAATGAAAGGAAAAAGATGGCTGTGTTGGGGACTGGCTATGTTTTGACTTATTCTTGGTCTTGACCTAGCCTCTAAAGTGATCTCTTTTTTGTGTGTAGAAAGGTTAAATAAGAATACATTACAAATGGATGTGTTCTCTGCATATTAAATAGCAATATTAATGAATGTGCTATGTTAGTAACTGGAAAACATCGAAACCAAAGTGCTGACCAGTGAGAGTGCGGCCACCCAGGAGAATGGTAGTGTGGGATGAAGGGCACCAACTTCTCAGCTGCCCCACCCCCCAGCCCCGGGCACAGAGCTGCAGAGATTCCAACTGTGCTAGCTCAGTTTATGTCTGGATATAAAACTAAACAAAGAACGGACACGATAGTGAAAATTCAAATCATATTTTTCAAATAGTAAGTACCTGTACTTGTTGGCGAGTTTATTTCTTGCCTGGTGTTTCTGCCTGGCTGGCCCCCAGCTCGTGCGGCCTCTCGCTGGGGCTCTAATATGTCGCGGTACTTGGAGACCATCAGAACCGAGATGAAGTACACGACAGCCAGAGCCAGGAACTGCGCCTGCTTGCTGTCATCCTGCGTCAATTCAAAAAGCAGCTTTCATCCCCCGGATTTGACACAATCAGAATATATTTCTAGGTGAAGAATAGTTTCTTTTCTATCAAATGGGTCAGAAAACATCCAAGTTTCATGGTTTATAAATTCACTGTACACCTATAATGTGGACCTTTTCATTTGAGCAAATACATATGTTCTTCAAATGACAAACGGCAGGGACTCAACAGAAAGTACATTTTCTAAACGTTTTACGAGTGGGTCCTATGATCATATTCACTCACGGACTTTCACCTGGACCTGCCACTGCCCGTTTCAATCATTGTAATCAGTACATGATCCTTATAAAACCTGCAAATATTTCATGGGATGAAACAAAGCAGCCACATTTATAATGATTTTCCTTTTCTGCTGTCTGGCAAACATCCGTGTAAATATGGATGTTTATAGACATAGAACAAAGCCCAAACCCACTGCCACCGAGTAATTACAAATCACAGCCACCCCATGTAGGTAGTCTTGATGGGAGCAGACTGCCTCATCTTTGTGCTGTTGAGAGGCTGGAGGGTTTGAACTAGCAATCTTGGAGTTAACAGGTCAATGCCTACCATACAGTGTCACCGAGATTCCTTTTTCCGTGCATAAATGCACATAAACATAGATATGCATAGGTACATGAATGACTGATTTTCAATTAATAAGTTCTATAATATGTGAAACTATTCCTGATTCATTTCTTTATGGGAGCAAAGCATGGCTCTTTAACTCTACTAAAACCTACAGTATGTGTATTTTATTGAATAAGTATCATTTAAGTATAAATATAAACTCAGGATTATATAAATGGAGTTACTGGTTGAAATATAAATTATAAGTAGAATGCTAAAATTTTAGTAAATGTGCCATACAATTTTATTTGTTGTGTTCACCACTGTAGCCACCAATTGCCTAACAACGTAGTGCACATGTTTATCAAATATGCGGATGGTTTAAAGTTGAAGAAAAGAAGTTAATGCCCTGGATAAAAACATCACAAGTTTCAAATGATCTAACTGGAAAAAAGGAATAGTATGAACTTCTTAATGGGATTCACAGAAGATCAGAGCGGAAGACCATCGGACAAGGAGCTGAGGATGCTGTGAGAGGGAGGGTGGGAGGGAGGGCTGTGGGCCACACTCCACATGACTCAGGCCATGAGAAGGCGGCACAGGAAGAAGAGAAGGCCATTCCTTGGTGGCATCAATACATACAGAGTAGGAGCAGCACCAATACTCCGCACTACAGAAATGGCCTCTAAAACAACGCAAATACTCAAGACTCCAAATTCCAAATCTCAGAAACAAAATGCTGTGACTCCCTCGTCCCCTACAAGTTCACCAAAGATCTGAACACCGTACTGTTTCAGAAATAGCTCAAAACAAAACAAGCAAAAATAACAGTCAGCCAGCCAAATAAACCACAGAGACCCTGGACTTTTAACCTGTAAACTACGAAACTGACCCCAAACCCACTGCTGTGGAGTCAATTCCAACTCACAGCTTCCCTGGAGAGGGTTTCCAGGCTGTCCGAGCTGTCCTCAGGTAGTCAGGCCTTCACAAGTGTGAGGGTTCACTTTGTTCCTGCTTGTGCCTTTTAAGTGTGAAGATCAAAAGAGAAGAATTTTACAGAGTGGACTGCACTGCAGTAGAGACCATCACTGCTGCTTTCCAGAATCCCTAAATAGTGAGTCGTGGTGTGGTGCTGTGGGTTAATGCGCTGGTCTGCAAGGTCCGTGGTTCAAGCTCACCACCCACTCCTCAGAAAGCATATACAGGCTCATTATAGGTTGGGGCTGAATCAATGGCACTTACCAACAACAACCATCATGTATCGGAGAAACAATGATAGGAAGGAGAACACAGCAAGTGACAGGAAACCATGCCAATTCAGTGGCAGAAAGCTCTGGCCAACTGTTCTGTAAAGACTGCCACCAAGAAAACCTACGGAGCAGCCCTACTGTGTCACACGAGGTCACAGTGGCTTCACTCATCAGTGTGCAGTGCTGCTGAGTCAGTTCCAACTCATAGACACCCTGTTTAAGGTTTCTGAGGGTCCGTTGGTAGGTTTGAACCTCTGACCTCATTCATGGTTAGCAATCCAATGCATATCCTACCATGCCACACCAGGATTAGAAGGATTTAATACCATTTTGCAACTTGATTATAACTAAGAAATCAAATGTCAGTGGTTATAAAGCTTTTTGTATAAACTAGGTCAAACTTAGATGCTTCAAGTAAAAGATGAAGTAGCTTTCACGTGTGCCTAGAATCAGGTAAAACATGACATGACAGAAAAAAGGAAACAAACATGCACTGAGTTCATTACCAACAGAGTCTCCATACTTACTATTTCATTAAAGCATATCAGAAACAAAAAAGCAAAACCCCATAGCCACGGCGTCTAGTCTCACTCTCAGAGACTACATGGGATCTTTGAGACTGTCTTTTAGTCTCAAGAACAAGAATCAGAGTGTGTGTGCCAGGAAAGAAAACCAGTAAGAAATGTTTATTGATGACTTAATACTACGAACCAGTACAGCTATTGAGGAAAACCACCAAGGTATAGAAAATGGGTTCTGAACCAGGATGAACTTAGTGATGAACTTAATGTGTCAGAGCCTGTGGGTGATGTAAAGAGACAGTTTCTCCTTCCACAGTGATGGCAATGGGCTACACAACAAAGAAGGGATCCAATCCAAGACAAGAGCACTTACGACAAAGGGGAAGACAAACAAAAGGCACCCGCCAAGAATGCACTCCAGCCCAGCTGAAGCCACATCCTTTGAACAAAACGCCCCCCAGTCTTTATTCCCACCATCTGCAGTCCGAAGGCATTCAACAAACAAGTGTGGGAGGAAGGGATGGCTGAAAGAATGAAGACAACTTAAAGTTGCAGCAGAAGTGTAAGGAACAGACATGGTGAGCTGGTGTAGATAAAAAAAGTAGCTCCCACATTTGAGGGGCTTCAAAACGTTCATGGAAAATTTTTATTATCTTTTCATTCCATTTTTCTACAAACTTGTTGACCCCTCATATATATGGGATAAAAAAGTTGCTTTTTTTTTTAAAATCCAGATCTGCAAGCCAACTGTTCTGCCAATTCCTAGTTCTATCGCTGCAAATGAAACACAATACACAGAGAGGCCAGACATCTGGAGAGTGACTAAATTCTCATCGAAATTAATTGACTTGCCTTAGCTATTTTAGTATCACAAAAACACAAACTTGATTATAGCTCTTCCCTCTGCTAGCCAGTCAGCCGTCTCTACTCTCTAGTCCGGAATCAGGAACACCATCAACAGCCTCGAACTTATTTCAACACATGCAACGTTTCAGCTAGGAATCTGGGATACCTTTCAATGAATGCCATTTTTAAAGATAAAAATTTCGTTTAGCATCTCTAATCCTGGTGTGGCACTACAGGCTCAGCACTGGACTGCTCACCCAAGGTCGATGGTTCAAGCCCAGCAGCCTCTCCTTGGAACCCCTATACAGGGTGACTGTGAGTCAGGACTGACCTGACAGCACAACCACCACAACTCTGGTCCCTCAAATTGCTGTAACTGGTAAATGACTCGAAGGCTGAGGTGAGTAAGCAGTGGAAATCAGCCAGGCCTTCACACCGAGAGCTAAGGGGAATACAAGGGGCTTCTCATTTCAGACACACAGTCCACCACACAAGGACGCACTTTCCTCTAGGAGCCCTGACAACCAGAGAAACCCGGAGTCTCTCCACGAAGCGTGTGGTGCGTGTGTCTGTCTCTCTGTGCCTCTCAGC